CCCTCCCAGCGCCGCCGCAGCGGCGCCGCGTCCGGTCCCACCACCCCCGCCCGAGCTAGTGGGGAAGCGGGGGGAGGAAGTGCAGTGCTCGGGACAGCAAAGGCAGGAGGAGGGCAGGGAGAGGCAGGCACTGCGGGGGAGCATCTGCCTCCCTCTGCTCACCCTTTCTTGCAACTGAAATAAAACTACGTCCTACCTAAACCCCTCAACACTCGAGGAAGAAAAAATGGCAACTAGCACCTCCCTTGGGATTCCTGTAAAAACCTGATCTTTGCAGAAATCCCAAGACCTTTTGACAATGCTGCCTTTATTCTGAGTTGGCTATAAACTTAACTTTCCTATGGCAGGGATTTTGAATAATCAGTCTTTTGGAGTTGCAGTATTTCTCTCTAAAGGCAGTGTTTTCAGGTGGAGTCCTCCCATGTATGGTACCTCTGTGAACAGCAGCAAGTGCCCACAAAAACACCTGGCCCCACACCTATGCTGATCTGCAGCTAAACCTGAAAGGTGAGACTGCTCTGGGCCCCAGGCAATCCAACCCTCCACTGCCTTCTGAAACGGGAAAACACAACAGGGACCTCACCAACTTTCTCTGTGTAACATTTTCTCTAGAAACTTAGTAGCTTTTAAGTGCACTCCTGGCCAAGCCGCCTCTGTAAACTACAAGAGCTTATGAAGCAGGCAGCCCAGGGACCCGAGTTACATTCTATCCAAAGTCCAAGCGCAGTGAGACAGTTGCAACATTCCCTCCAGAAGGACTTTACACACCATACTTCAATACAAAATAACCATTGGCTACCAGATACATGCAACTCGGACAAAGTTTGTTCTTAATTCAAGTGTACAGGCCCTCCCACATTGCAGTAGTGTTATCATTCCAGAAAAAGTTGAACTAGCTAAAATATTCAGGCACCCTGGAAAAGTAACGTTAGAAAGCAAACAAACAAAAATAAACAGTCAGAAAATGTCTCAGTTATAAGCTACATAAGCATATTTAATACCCTCTTTGCTGATCTTAGATTTGTTTTCTGAAGGGTATTATCAAGACTTTTATTCCCCCCTCCCATTTCCACACCCTGCCCCAAAGTAACTAGCTCCCATCCTCCCAGAACAGCCCAAACATCTTCTCTATACTACGCACCTTATTCAGTCTACGGTATTTCTGCTAGAAGCAAAAGAAAACAGTTATTTTTACTTAGTACAGCCTTGCTTTCATTTGCAGTGACTATTAGGCAACCATTTTTATTAAAAAAATAAAAAGAACCTGTCTTCATTCCCACTAAAAACAGGACTTTGAAGATAGGAAGGAATCAAGTTCCTTTTTCCTGCTGATACTCTGAGGATGCATGAATTTCTTAAAAAAATAATTACACCTTGCTTTAATCACATACATACATTTAATTGGGTTTATTAGAACAGAAAACTAGAAAAGCAAAATTGCCCCCCTATGCTTAACACCCCACCCCTTACAACTGTAATAAATATACTGCAATTTAAAGTTACTCCACTAATATGGGGATGAAGAAGGTAGAAAAAAAAAAGCTATGAATTAATACATCAGATAGAAATGGTTAATTTCCTTTTTTAATCTTTACCCCTTAAAGCTACTTTTAATAAAAAAAAAAAGCAATCCTCTCACCTGTGAGGATCTTCTTCCTTTCCTCTTGTAGTCTTCCACATCTCTCTCTTCCTTAAGAGCAGCCATTTTGGAAGGGTACTCTAACTCAGCCTTTCTTTTAGATCTAGGAAACCTAGAAAACAGGTTGGATAAGTCAGTACTTACCCCAATTCCTGTGAAGCAGGGCCTTCTCTGGCTGCAACGCACGGGTGTGGCTTTATAGGAGGAAACGGGAGGGGGTGAAAGCAGAAAAGAATGTAAGTATTTAAAAGGATAGAGTTAAAATCCTCCAAAACTATTTTGCTCACGATTAAGAGGAGCTGCAGAGGGAACACCTGCTATCCTAGTAAAGGCCTTTTACAACTGTTGGAATAACTAGGTACAACATAAAGCTAAAACCTGTAGAAAACAACCTACGTCGATTACTGTCACACAAAACTATCATGAATACAACTGGTACAGGGCAAGCAAATTCCACCTTTGATACCCAAATCCACTACCTAAATCAAATTCTACTTCTCTAGGTTTTAAATTTAAAAATATTTAACATTTTGCAAATACTGCTTATTAGAATTATCTTATGTGTAACCTATTGTAATCAGTGATCCAGCAGCCTACAAAACTGGAACACTAAAGGATGTGTTAAATGTTTTCTGAACTGAAAAATATTTTCCACTTACACCAGTGCAAGAATCCTTTACTGATTCTATTCTTGCAGCACCAGAAATTTTAACACTTGATCCTCAGCAATCTGTAGCACTAGCCATCTGCATTACTTTTGTTTCCAAGTGATGTATTTGGTTACTACCCTATACTCCCTACATACATGTCCAGCTTTTCATAATACACGTTATGTATGTATCATTACAAAATTGAGTATTTCACAAGGTAAACTCAGTGAATGAAACCATATCTAAGCCTGTTCCCTTTAGCCTTTACCATTTCAAGTTTCCTGAGATCATTAAGTTACTTCATTTATCTTACTATACTGTATTAGTATCTTTGGCTACCATTCATCACTATTTTGGACATCTCTTGAAACTTTTTTACAGCAGCCAAAATAGAACAGTCAACTAGGCAAGACACTTCTGTAAAACTACATTTGTGCTGCATTAAAATCATTGATATTTAAAAGATTAGGTGTATATTAGGTGTATATTTTGTTGGGGCTTTCTTGCTTGTTTGGGTTGTGGTTTTGGGAGCTTTTTTTGTTGGTTTTTTTTGGTTGTTTTAAGTTTTATCCCTGCAAGTACTGCATAGGGAAAGGCATGCAGGTGTCTACTAATAACCAACATGTAGTTATTCAGAGTGAAAATTATTATTTAATATAATTCCATGTTAAAATCCAGCTTCAAATGAAACTCAACTGTGAAACCATGAGTACCATGACTTAATATATTAACAATTTTAAAGGTTTTATAAAGTAAAACCGAAGTGTTTGTATTATCTTCTGTTCCTCTCTACACAGTGTTAAACTTGCTCTTGAAATCCTTTAAATCAAACATGAGTTTGACTTAGGAGGTATTAGCATACTAAGTGTCTCAAATGAGCTGTTCGATTCCTAAAGTCATACAGGGAGGTATGAAACACAACGTTAACAATTCAAGGGCTTTTAGAAAAGTAGCTGTATGGCAAAATAAAACTAGGAATTGTTAAGGAGGAAAGGGATAAGCCTATTCAAATACTTTTTTAAGTAATGAGAAGTATAAAATCCCTCTCTGATTGTCACCTGCTGCTTTCCCCAGTGGGGCTCCATGCTGGCCAACATAAGGCTCTCAGGCATGGTCTCTGCCATGACAGCCTCTGAAGGCCACAATGGTCAAGAGAGTGGTCTCCTTGCTGATGCATACCAACATCTGAAGTGGAAGACAGCCCCATTCAGCCCTATTCCTACTTTGCCTTATAGAAAGTGGTTAAAAAAAAGCTGTCAATATTAGCTTTTATTTATACTTAACATCAACAAAATACTAAATTCAACTCAATTAAAAATACTGAGAACATTTCTATCAGCTGAATTAAAGTAGCCTTGAAACAGTTGTACGCTGCAACTTAACTACAGAACTGAAAGCAGTCTTGGAATAAATCTGTTAGTTATAATGAGCAGAAAGTCACTAGGAGATGTCTCATTACTCAAAGGAACTCATGCTACTGTATCTCTCACAGAGACAAGAAGTAAGATAATAAGAGGCAAAACAGACATTCCAAAGATGGAAGTTTACCTGTTCATTCAGAGAATACTATGGAGATGTACTGGGTCTTTTTTGTAAATAGCTAAAGTTGGACCTAATGTGCATACAGTATATCTCGCCAAACCTAAGAGTTAAAGCAGCAAAACAATAGATTTTCAGCTCTAAGTGTGTTGGCAGTTTATTCCCAATGCCAATAGGAATGTCTGCTGGGAAAAAAACAACAAGATATTAGCTTAATAATCTATGTGATGTGTTTCAAGCTTTACTGAAACATGTTCACAAATGCTTTGAACGCATCATCCCTCCCAGCTGTCAAACTATTCCAACAACCCTAACGCGCCTAAAACAATTGCTTACATGGAAAATTTATTTTTAGCTGTTTTGCTAAGGGATCCAGTTTCTTCTCTGCTTTTAACGTAGGAACAGAAACTAGCATGACCTGTTGGTTTTTCTGTTCTCGATTCTCTAAGATTTCAGCTTGCAGTGAGGGGGTCAAGATAAAAAAAAAAAAAAATCTCCATTTTTGCTCACCATACTTTACTTGAAATACTTGAGCAAAAAAAATTAGGTTTTTGAGGAGAGAGGAAAGAAATGCAAGGAGGGATATCATGACAGTATTTCCCTCCAGGTAGAGTGTGGATGATTGCCCCAGTGTTCATTTGATTTCGACTTCATTCAAGTTGGGCAAGATTTGAACCAAGGTTTGTGCAGGACTGCTTCTTCGTGTTGCCCACCAGGATCATGGCGGGATACCACCAAATGCACGTGTGGTTGGGGAACTGGAGAAAGGGAAATGGGAAACTATTGGACAGAGCTTTTCGGTATGCCTTCCCCCACTTCCCGGGGCAGCAAAAGCTCGCTACACGTGCTAATTCCCCTTGGGAAGGGGCGGGGGGAACATTAGGGAGGTGCTGCAACGTGTACCAGCATTCCTCTGCGAGAAGCAGAGAACGGCACTAAACGACCTTAATGCTTTAAAAGTCTCTTCCCAGAAAAGTGAGCGGGAGAAGAATATCCCAAGGGCACAACTCCGCGAAGCTTAGGTGGGGGCCCACACAGGGAGGACAGAACAATGACACACGCATGTGTGGGCCTCGCGTCTCCCCACTCTCGCCCGAACACGCGCCTCAGCGCTTAGGCGTCCCCCAGGACAGCCGAGGAGGACCCTGCTACCCACAGCCCT